CCTCCCATTAGTTTCCCAACAGCACACACAGGGATAGTAAAATTAAACACGACTACTTTGGATCTTGGGAAATTTAAATGTTAAATCTCCTTAACCTTCAAAAGTTGACTGCCTGGCAGGGTGTGGTGGCTCATGCCTGTAATCCCAGCACTTTGGGAGGCCAAGACGGGCAGATCACTTGAGGCCAGGAATTTGAGAGCAGCCTGACCAATATGGCGAAACCCCATCTCTACTAAAAATACAAAAATTAGCTGGGTGTGATGGTGTGTGCCTGTAGTTCCAGCTACCAGGAGGCTGAGGTGGATCACCTGAACCCGGGAGGCAGAGGTTGCAGTGTGCTGAGATCACGCCACTGCACTGCAGCTTAGGTGACAGAGCGAGACGGTGTCTCAAAAAAAAAAAAAAAAAAAAAAAAAAAAAAAAACAGCTGATGGCCCTAACTTTATGACAGCATTATGCAACTGCTTTTAATTTACAGTGAAATCAACTTTCATTTGATTAAAAAAAAAATTCAGTCCCCCAAATCAATCTATTTTTCACTGGATCTTGCTAATTAAAAAGCATTTGATTAAAAAATTAGCCAGATGTGGGGTGGCATGCACCTATAGTTCTAGCTACTCAGGAGGCTGAGGTGGTAGGATACCTTGAGCTCAGGAGTATGAGGCTTCAGTGAGCCACGATGGTGCCACTGCACTCCAGCCTGGGCAACAGAGAGAAACCGTGTCTCTAAAAAACATAAAAACAAAAAATTTAAAGAGCAAAGCATTTGAGCGTTTGCGTGTGTGCGTGTCCACTGAAGGATGCAGAAGATGGAAACAGAAATCTTCAGAAATAGCTACTCAGAAATAACTAAGGTAAATATAGTTTATAGCTCTTCAATTACTCTATGCAAATTTCCAAATCTCTGTTCTGAATGAGTCAAGGCAAAGGCACGAAAACACCCCTACAGGGCTGCATGTCCACATCTGTGGCAGGTTGCAGACCAAAAGCTTCCCATGTCAGTGCCGAGTAGACTTCTAAGTCAGCTGTGTATTACCGCTCTGAGTCCCTTAAGAGAGCTGTCGTGAATCACCACAGCAGGGGTGAGACGCCATTCTGCCTGTGCTCCTGACTGACATTCACAGAAACACTGAGCGGGTACATGCAGTGCACCAAACATGGGTGATTCATTCAAAAGAAATCTGCCAAAACAGAACGACAAGTAGAGCTAGGTTTTTTTTTTTTTTTTTTTTTGAGACGGAGTCTCGCTCTGCCGCCCAGGCTGGAGTGCAGTGGCCGGATCTCAGCTCACTGCAAGCTCCGCCTCCCAGGTTCACGCCATTCTCCTGCCTCAGCCTCCCGAGTAGCTGGGACTACAGGCGCCGCCACCTTGCCCGGCTAGTTTTTTGTATTTTTTAAAGTAGAGACGGGGTTTCACCGTGTCAGCCAGGATGGTCTCGATCTCCTGACTTCGTGATCCGCCAGTCTCGGCCTCCCAAAGTGCTGGGATTACAGGCTTGAGCCACTGCGCCCGGCTGAGCTAGGTTTAATGGTATGCTCCCTGAAAACTTCTGGAACACATCTCTGGTATGTTCTCAGGTGCCAGTCAGCTTCTAAGAAGGCAGAGTATCCTCATCTCCTGTCTCCTATTACCCTTGCCTTTCATCAGGGAGTGTTCAAGAGGAGGCAGCAGGTAGCAGCAGCCTTTAAAAAATTTGTCAACAGCCTGTAATCCCAGCACTTTGGGAGGCCGAGGAGGGCGGATCACGAGGTCAGGAGATCGAGACCATCCTGGCTACTAACACGATGAAACCCTGTCTCTACTACAAATACAAAAAAAAAATTTAGCTGGGTGTGGTGGTGGGCGCCTATAGTCCCAGCCACTCGGGAGGCTGAGGCAGGAGAATGGTGTGAATCTGGGAGGCGGAGCTTGCAGTGAGCCGAGATCGCGCCACTGCACTCCAGCCTGGGCGACAGAGCGAGACTCTGTCTCGAGGAAAAAAAAAAACTTGTCAATAAAAGACAGCAGTTGGTCACCTGGAACAGTGCGGCTGAACTCACAGTATTTGACACCAAATACACTTCGCCTCCAGCTGCCACCTCCCAGGCCAGGCCTCTAGCCCACCCTCCATACTGATGCTAGCTCTAGGCACTCCACTCCCCTACGGAACCCCCTGCAGTGCCCTGGTGCCCCAGGACCAGGCCAGACCCTGACTCACGGACACACCCTCCCCCATCTGGTGTTCTTTTTGGCTGAGCTATCTGAAAGAGCCTTTGCTACCCTGTGTCCATGCGGCAAGCCCCATCTATCCTTTACTATCCTCAGCTATCATGATTACAAAGGCTTTCCACTTCAGCCCTGCTGGATGGTCTCCACCAGCTTCTGTGCAAATTCCCTATCTTGTACGTTAAATCATTTAACAAATAATTATTACGTACCTAATAGATGTCAGGCATTGGGCCCAAGGAAACAGGAAGAGCGATACTGACAAGATCCATATGCCACACTATGCTTATCACACAGAACTGTAATGATTTCTGGGCTATCTTTAAGACGGAAGTCACGTTCTACTTATTTCAGTATTGGTAGCCCTTAGCCCAATGCCTGGCACTTAGTATGTATCCAGTGGACATTTTCGTGATTGTAAAAAATAAGGTTCCAACTAGCTGCTAATCAGCTTTTACAAGTAACTTAATAATGACAAAAGTAGCAGGCACTAACATTTATTGAGCATCTACTATATTATCAGGTACTGTCCTGACCCAATTACATGTATTATTTAATTTCCAGAACATCCTATGAACAAGATGTTACACAGCTCCCACTTTACAGAGAAGAAATCTGAGGCTCTGAGAGACCAAACATCTAAAGAACAGGTACACATGGGCTGTCTAGTAAAGATCTCCACAAAGCTGGGAATGTCTTCGCATGTGCTGTTCAATACAGTAGCCAGTGGCCACACGTGGCCGTTCAGTGTTTGAAACGTGGCTGGTGCAACCAAGAAAAGGAATTTTGAATTGTATTTTAATTTAATTTAATTTAATTTAATTTAGTTTTTGAGACAGAGTCTCACTCTGTCGCCTAGGCTGGAGTGCAGTGGTGCAATCTCGGCTCACTGCAACCTCTGCTTCCCGGGTTCAAGCGATTCTCCTGCCTCAGTCTCCTGAGTAGCTGGGATTATAGGCGTGTGCCACCACACCCGGCTAATTTTTGTATTTTTAGTAGAGACAGGGTTTCACCGTGTAAGCCAGGATGGTCTCGATCTCCCGACCTCGTGATCTGCCCTCCTTGGCCTCCCAAAGTGCTGGGATTACAGGTGTGAGCCACCACACCCGGCCCCCACATTACTTTCCTGTGGTCTCAGCTATAAAATTACCAACATGGATGTGTTCCATAGCACTTCCTGGGACCTACCTGTATGCCAAGAACCACACTGGACACTGCAGGAACTATCAAAGAAAGCCATCACAGAGCTCCTGGAGGAGAGGGGAGCCCAGGGGGTGCTATCTTCAAAGGCAGAAAGGACATTTCTGTGTGCGCTATCAACATAAGCAAGAAAAGAGGGACTGAGCATAAAGTGACCACAGGTTAGAGGAACTCCAGATCACCAGGACAATATGATAGAGTTTATGGAAGGCCACTTTTAGCCACTTTTTTTTTTTTTTTTTGAAACAGGGTCTCGCTCGTGCAGTGGCATGATCTCGGTTCATTAAAGCCTCGACCTCCCAGGTTCAAGCAACCCTCCCACCTCAGCCACCCAAGTAGTTGAGACTACAGGCCTGTACTGCCACACCTGGCTAATTTTTACATTTTCTGTAGAGATGGGGTTTTGCCATGTTGCTTAGGCTGGCCTCAAACTCCTGGCTTCAAGCTATCTGCCTGCCTTGGCCTCCCAGAGTGCTGGGATTACAGGTGTGAGTCATGGCACCAGGCCCAAGCTAACTTTCAAGAATGTAGCTACTGCATTAAGTAGAGGGATCCTGCAGAAGGAAATAAATCCATTTACTTAATTAGCAGTCACTATATGATCTGAATCATGTAGCACAGTCTATGAAAAGTTGAGACTCCATGAACATACCAAACAATAGTGACTTGTACTCTTTAAGTGGATAAATTATATGGTATATGAATTATAGTATTTTTTAAAAAGCTAGTGAAAATTAGTAACAAAATATTCAGCCAATCCGAAATCCATTTTTTTCTTCTTTCCACCCCCTTACCCCCCACGTCACCAGTCAGCATCTGTTAACAATCTGAAATCTTTTTATTCTTTTTGTTTGACACACAGTCTCACTCTGTCGTCCAAGCTGGAGCGCAGTAGTGCAATCATGGCTCACTGCAGACGCAACCTCCTGGGCTCAAGCAATCCTCCCACATGAGCCACGCAAGTGGCTGGACTACAGGCATCAGCCATCACACCTAGCCATCAATATAAAATCTTTTTTTTTTTCTTTTTTTTGAGACAGAGTTTCACCCTGTCACCCAGGCTGGAGTGCAATGGCTCAATCTTGGCTCACTGCAACCTCCGCCTCCCGGGTTCAAGCAATTCTCCTGCCTCAGTCTCCTGAATAGTTGGGATTACAAGCATGAGCCACCATGTCTGGCTAATTTTTATATTTTTGGTAGAGACAGGATTTTACCATGCTGGCCAGGCTGGTCTCGAGCTCCTGATCTCAGGTGATCCGCCTGCCTTGGCCTCCCAAAGTGCTGGGATTACAGGTGTGAGCCACCGCACCTGGCCTAGCAATCTAAAATCTTAACAAGAAAAGTAGTACTCAGAAAAACACCTCGAATCTTCTGTGGAATGATTGCAAACATATATCTTAGAACTGATGAAATAAAGGCTGAGGAGTGAAATTTGGGCAGGCCTACTTGGGAGGTACACATAATGATTTCAATACTGACTCACAATATTCAATAACTGAATTACGTACAGAACTACACTGTGAGGTAGGTTCACATATAGCATAGTTCAGGCCCAAAGACCAACAGCTGAAATGATAACATGTTGAAAACATACCTCTTCTAGGCTGAGTTGCAAATACTCAAAGATCCTATATGGATTTCTTCTGCATATTAATCTGTTTCTTTGCACCAACTAAAGAGAAAGAAACACAATATATACAGAACAAATGGAAGCACTACATGTCACAGAGAACGTATTTTAAAATGAACATTTTTCTTATAAATTCCCAGGATTCACATTCTATTGTGCTAATATTATAAAGAAATGATTACAACAAAAATTTGAGACAGACTCTTGCTCTATTGCCTGGGCTGGAGTGCAGTGATGTGATCACAGCTCACTGCCGCCTCAAATTCCTAGACTCAAGCAATTCTCCTACCTCAGCCTTCCCAGTAGCTGGGACTACAGGCGTGTGCCACCATGCCTGGCTAATTTTTTGTAGAGACAGAGTTGTCCAGGCTGGTCTTGAACTCCTGGCCTCAAGCAACCCTCCCGCTTCAGCCTCCCAAAGTGTTTATTATAGGTGTGAGGCACCACGCTTGGCCAAGAAATGCTTTTTTATTACTTGTGTGGAAAAGGAAGTTTTAATTTTTTCACTATGAAGATTCTGGCTTATTTCCTTTTTTCCCTGTGAATTTTTCCTGCAGTTGTAATCATTTTGTTGGTGAATTTTATTTTACGTGTTGCTTTTTTCACCCAATTGTACCTAATAAGCATGTGCCTATGTTTTTGTTTTTTTGAGACAGGGTCTCACTCTGTTGCCCAGCCTTGATCTCCCAGGATCAAGCAATCCTCCCACCTTAGCCTCTTGAGTAGCTGGGACTGGCATGTACCACCACATCCAGCAATTTTTTTTTTTTTCATTTTTAGTAGAAATGAGGTCTTGCTATATTGCCCTGGCTGGTCTTGAACTCCTGGCCTCAAGTGATCCTCCTGCCTCGTCCTCCCAAAGTGGTGTGAGCCACTGTGCCTGGCTCCTATGCTCTTAATATGACTTCATAAACCTCATGCTAAGTCTACATGATATTGCTTTGAATGGGTATCTCATATCCCATTCAGCCATTAGGTTGTTTCTAATTTTTAGCAATTCCAGACAGCTCTAGGGTAACTCTGACAGCAAGTCCCCTAATGATGTAGCTCTCACCCACCTTCCCTAGGCTTTTCTCGTGACGGCTGACTTCCACACGTGAGCCCTTCTCGCTCAGCTGTACTCAAGATCAGGTGTAATTATCACCGCATTTTGTTTTCTCTCAAATAAAGGAGAGAGTACCATTGGCCTTGCCTTAATTTTATAAATTTTTAAAAAGTTATTCACCAACTTTGGGGTTTTAGTTGAAATGGCCCTCACAGCTGCTGTGGCCCAGAGCCTGCTGCTTCCCTCGGACCTTACAATAGGCCAGCTACCAGCTGCAGGCAAAAGACATCCCTATTAGCCAACATCTCCAGGAACAGATGGCTTTGGAGGAAGCAATTTATTTTCTCCTACTTACTTCCTCATTTGGGGCATCCTCCCTCTCGCTCATGGCACACTCCACTTCCTCGACGAGCACGTACTCATGGTCAGGCCCCCTGTCCCCAGCATGCAGGAGGCCGACGTGCTGGCTGCCGTCCTCATGGTGAGGGCCACACTGGAGGATGAGAGCATCTTGTTTGCAGCAACAGACTTGGGGCAGAGGTGCAGCGTCCTTTCTCACACTTTTCTCAAAGCCGTCTGTTGTTGGGTTGCACCCAGAGCCCTCCTGCAGGGAGCCTAATGGCTCACTGGGATCACCCATACCACCTGACTTTCCAGAGTCCCCGTTTACCACAGAAGGTCTCTCTCCCCTTGCTGTGCCTTCCATGTTAGAAACCATTCCAGAGTTAAGCTCGTCATACACTTGAGCCTCTTCGTTCCTTTTCACAGGAGGATGCTCAAGCGGTTTCGTGTAATCCTTGAGGATTCTGCACACTGTACTCTCATCCTGCCCCTGTCTACGCATCAGCTCTGCCGCCCACTCAACACTATGCTGATACCTGCAAGACAGAAATACTGTTGGAAACAGCACTCGAATTTCAAAATTGAAAAAACAACAAAGCACATAAAAGACTAGAAGGTGACACACCGAAATGTTTACAGAATTATTTGTGAATGGTGCATTATAGATAAATATTTTTCTTTTTTATACTTTTCTGCATTTTCTTTTCTTTTTTTTTTTTGAGACGGAGTCTGGCTCTGTTGCCAGGCTGGAGTGCAGTGGCACGATCTCGGTTCACTGCAACCTCCGCCTACTGGGTTCAAGTGATTCTTGTGCCTCAGCCTCCCAAGTAGCTGGGACTACAGGCACCCGCTACCACACCTGGCTAATTTTTGTATTTTTAGTAGGGTTTTGCTATGTTAGCCAGGAAGGTCTAAATCTCCTGACCTTGTGATCTGCCCGCCTCGGGCTCCCAAAGTGCTGGGATTACAGGTGTGAGCCACCGCATCTGGTCTCTGTATTTTCTAAGTGTTCTGCAACAAGCATATGCTACTTCTTGTTTCTTTGCTTTTATAGTTTCATTTTATTTATTTAAAAAAAAAACCCAGTTTAACTATGAAAATTTATATAATTTAAAACTGGCAGATTAAGTGATTTAGATAAATAAGCAAAAAAAAAATGGCCATCCTTTATCAGGATTTTTTTGTATTATTATTACTATTTTTTGAGATGGAGTCTTACTCTGTCACCCGGGTGGAGTGCAGTGGCACGATTTCAGCTCACTGCAACCTCTGCCTCCCGGGTTCAAGCGATTCTCCTGCCTCAGCCTCCTCAGTAGCTGGGATGACAGGCTCGTGCCACCACACCCAGCTAATTTTTTATATTTTTGGTAGAGATGGGGTTTCACCATGTTGGCCAGGCTGGTCTCAAACTCCTGACCTCAAGTGATCTGCCCGCCTTGGCCTCCCAAAGTGCTGGGATTACAGGTGGAAGCCACCGCTCTCGGCTTGTTTTGTATTATTTTCAATTTAGGATCTCATAATGTTTTCAGATAGATATGCCATTCATAATACAAAGAACTTTTGTTTAGTATTGGAAAGCAAAATGAGAATTTCAATAAATATTCATCACAGTGCCTACTAACCTCTTTACAGGATAAGGAAATGATTTGGCTTATGTAGATTCATCCAAATATTCTAAGAGAAATAGCCCCTTTCCCCACAATACTTTTCAGAATAGATTTTAATGACAAAATTCATGTTAAGTTTCTAAAACTTGAAGCTAACACCCAAGTTACAAAACACTTCCCAAGTTACAAAAAGTTATAGGCAAAACAATAGGGCAAAGCATTCATGCCTAGGCTGCTGGGATGTGTTCATGTGATGTGAGAACTACCAGATGCTGGAAATCTGAAGATCAGAAGGTCAAAGACATTGTGAAACTCAAGTGCTTTTTGCCTGGACCTTCAGTGATCAGTCTGAAAGACATCCAAGACAACACATGGCTTGAGAGAAGGCAGATGTAATTTTACTTTTCACCTTCTTTTACCTGGTTAAGACTGAATAGTGCTTGATTCGGCAGCACATATACTTAGAATGGCCCCTGCGCAAGGATGACATGCAAATTTGTGAAATGTTTCCAAAAAAAAAAAAAGACTGAGTATGTCATAGTTTATAAACTGCTATATCTTACACAATTTAACAAGGACACTGGCTTCTGCTATACCCTGATTCCTAAGAATCCCGAAGTTGTCCACACCCTGTTCACCCCACATGAGGATAAACATCAGGGATGTCTCCCTATATACTGGGAATTGTATCCTAAAGATTAACACCTGGTAAGGCTACCCTAATACCTGAGAGACAGTACGACACCATGACTTTGGTACTGCACATTTTGTGTCCAGCCCCGTTACTTACAACTGTGTGGCAATGCAAATTACTTAACTTCTCTGTGCTTCAATTTTCCCACCTATAAAATGTGGAGAGTAGTACTACCACCTCAAAGGGATCTTGTTATGTATTACTTTTAAAACCAGCAAAAAGAACACAGCTGTGCCAAAACCAGTAGGTTGTCTTCTCACCTGGAACACGGCCACCTATGCATACGTTTAAAAGAACCGTCATGTGAGAGGTCTAAAAAGAATCTCAGCTCTTCATATCAACAAAAGCATTGGTTCTACAGGGTCTATAAATATCCTTTATTTGAACACAAATTTTTGTGACAATATATTTTCCTGGGGAAGGGACCCACAACTTTTGCCAAATTCCTTGACTCAAAACACATGAAAGAACCACTGATTTAAAGGGTCAACAGTTCCTCCTTTGACCAGAAGATCTGGAACGAAGCAAGCACACAGACAGCACTGATCTGCTCCTTGCAGCAAAGCAGTCAAAGCAGACGTGGGTTCCAATCCTTGCTCCATCACATTCTCGTATTAACTGCATGACCCCACCTCTCTAAAGCTCAGTGACCATCTATAAACTAGGGATAACTGCACCTACCTCGTGGGGTTGCAGCAAGGATTAAATAAGACACGTAAAGTGCAAAGCCCATAAGAAGTGCTCAATCAATATTACTATATCATTGTGGAGTTTTTAGGAGTGGCTTGAAAAATAAATCAGACTCAATATATAGTATATTGAAAAAGATGTTAATGAATGGAAATGTCTTAATTCACTGTTCTTTGAGAGCAGAGGCAGCAGTGCGGGGATGAACACAGCCTCTGGAGGTCTAGGTCCTGGAGCTGGCTCTTCTATGTGGCTCTGAGTTAAGCCACTTAGTACCTCTACCTCTGTGCTCTTCTGCCATACACCAGAACCAGGCCATACCTGTGTTCCCTTTTCAGGGTCTCAGAGGATCGCTATGAAAGGTCAAAGGAGACTGAGGCTTGAAGAGCATGTAGAAGCCTCCAAGTCAGACATGATGAAAAGAGCCACAAAAACAAATGACTAAGACAACAACATATGGGTCAGAGCTGAAGGCATCCTCTAGCTGGCTGGCAACATCTTAAAAAGCTAAGTCCTGCTGCCATCAATCCCAGATGCTGGAGCAGTTGCAGGAAGAGAAATGAGAAGTAAAAAGCAGAAAGTGTAAGGGGCAGCGTGGCAGAAGGACGAGGCAGCAGCCACGACTGGAAGCGGTGACAGGACTGGGGAAAGCAGTACCATCCAGGACCGCAAGGAGACAGGACATGCCCATCCAAACACGCCACGGATTCTCATGTTTCTGCACCCTTGAACACACACCTCTCCTATTTGCACAGGGCACCGTTCTCTACTGTTATACCGATGGATGCCCATTTACCACTGGAAGTGCACAGCAGAGTGGTTTAGAGTGGTTAGTGCACACAGGTTCTGGGGCCACAGTGCCTAAGTCCACATACTGACCCTGAGCAAGGAGCTTCACTTCCCTGTGTTCAGTTCTTCCACTTGTGGAAGATGGATAAGAACGGGACCCACCTGATGGGAGTGATGTGAGGACCCGAGACGACACACGGGCCCAACACTGGCATGATACTTAGCACTGGAAGGTGCTCGGGGAGTGCTGGTGCGCCCACCCACATCAATGCCTCCCAGGCTCTGGCACTGAGCCCATGTAATCTTGGGCAAGCTACTGAACCCTCACCTGAGTCCCCATCTATGAAACGGAAACATCTCTAGTACCTACCCTCGAAGGTTTCTTGAGAAGATGAAAGGAGGTAACGCAGGCAAGCTCAGAGACTGGGATTGGCACTGCTAGAGCAGTCAGCACCTGTTGGCCATAATGGTGATGGTATCTCTACCACAACAGCACTACAGGACAGCACAACTGTTCACTTCTCTTCCTCTCTCACTAGACTGCAAATCCCTCAACAATGGGGACTAGGTCTTTTCCTCGCTCTTGGGTCCCCAGCACCTATCCAATGCCTGACACATAGTGAATTCTGGCTGAAGAAAGGACCACAACAGGGTGGGCGACCCGACTATCCGGGCTGGTCCTTCAGGGACATACCTCTACCTGTGTCAGTTCCCCAAAGGCATCACAGAAGGGTCCTGACACTTACCTTCAGAAAGAGTTACACAGAAGGTGCTCTTCACCCAAAGATGACTATTGTTGGGAAAAGGCCAATTTGAGTGAATCCACTTGAAATAGAAATCAGAATTTCAGAGGCACCAGCAAAGAAACAATTATGGCCAGGTGCAGTGGCTCACACCTGTAATCCTGGTGCTTTGGGAGGCTGAGATGGGAGGATCACTTGAGCCCAAGACCAGCCTGGGCAACAGAGCGAGACCCTGTCTCTACAAAAAACACAAACAACAATTATGACAAGTATTTAAGTTGAAAAATTAATCTAAAAATATGAACATGAATCAATTTTTCTTATATTCAAAATTTAGATTGTGATTCCAAGTGTTATGAACAAATAATAAATCAAGTATCGATTTTGGTTGGGGGACATATGTAGCTTGCTGACAGAACTGTGCTGATAACATCTATAAACATCTTTAGGTTCACATACGGAAATGGATTGTAATCTGAAAATTTCTTATAAAAAATTAATCCCCACAAGCATACCCACTTCAAGCAACATTCCTGCACTGTCACTATGTGTGGAGTCTACGTCACTTTGTCCTTTGTTATGTTAATGTAAATTCAATGCAAATTGATGGCAAATTGAACATTTAAATCTTGCAAAAAAGATGCAGGATTCATGAAGTCTATCAAAGTGATCAAAGTATGGCAAAGGGATTAAAAAATGAGAATTTGGCAGTTAGACTAGAGGAGAATTGAAGGAAAAATCAACTAAGGTGATAATGCAATAAAGTATATCAAGAGCGCTGAGGAGGGAAGAGAGAATGTCTGAATGCAGACTGAGTTCACGTCAGGCTTGCTTATTAGTGAACAGTTTATCACTTTCACTTCTCAGTGCAACTCCGTAACTGTGGGGCCTTGAGCAAGGAATAGTAGGACAACATACACCTCCCAGATTACACGCCCCAGTACCTGTGAATATGACTTTATCTGGACACAGGGTCTTTGCAGATGGAATCAATTTGATGTAAGGACATAGTGACTGGTGTCCTTAAAAGAGGCAAAATATCACATGTACCCGTACCCTGAAAATACATACATCTATCAATTTTTTTCATGCAAAAAAAAAAAAAAGGAAAATTTGGACAAAGACACACAGAAACACACAAGGGAGTGACCACAGAGGCAGAGATTAGAGTGATGCATCTGCAAGCCAAGGAATGCCAAGGGGTGCCAGGAGCCAGCAGAAGTGAAGGCAGGCAAAGAAGGATGCTCCCCTAGAGCCATCTGAGGGACTGTGGCCCTGCCAACACCTTGAGTTTGGAATTCTGGTGTCCAAAACCATGAGAATAAATTTCTGTTGTTTTAAGCCATCGAGTCCGTGGTACTTTGTTATGGCAGCCCTAGGAAATGAATACTAGGGTCAGTGAAACTTCTTGGGACATTGTAGTGCTCACAAAGGGATGCTCTTCAGGGAGGCAGCCCTCTCCCTGTGCAGAACCTCTACGCTGGCAAGCTGGCTTGACCTTACGTCATGCTGTGGCCAGCCTAGCCAGGATGCAGTTCTGATGGGCGAGCTCCTGCTATTTCTGATCCCTAGGTTTCTGTTGTGGCAACCTGTCTATACTATAGCTCCTCCAAGACTGGGGGCTCTGCCAGGTTCTCAGCAGGTCCCTCCCACACACCAGAATCCCACTCCTGACCCCGGCCTGAGGTTACAGCCAGAACAGCCATTGAGATCTTCCTGGTGCCACCACTCCTTGCCACCCCGCTGGCTATGGGGTTGCCAGGCATGTAACCAAAAAGGAGCTGCTGGATTTTGCCCGTATAGGCTAGAAGCAAGATGAACAAAATTACTGAGACTTGAGAAGTTTTATAAGGTTTCATGGAAGAGCTGAGACTTGTACTGTACCACAGGCACAAGGAGGTCTGGGATGGATGGAGACAGCCAACAATCTTACCAAGGGACCACAAAGTGTGGTGCTGAAGAGAGAAGGGCCTGATCTCTGCTCTCCAAGCACTGACAGTCTGAACCTACGTATGACACATGAGGAGAGTGCTGCACGCCAAAGAGGACTGTGAGGGCCAGAGGAGCAGCACCCAGGACAGAGGACGGTATGGTGGTAAGGAGAGAAACCCAGGAGAGATCATGCATGAGCAGGATCGAGGACATGCAGGAATCAGCCAGGCCGTATGTGTGTGTTTGGGGAGTCGGGGAGAAACCTTCCAGGAATGTCCAGGATTAAATGAGGAAGGGCCTCTGTGAAAGCCTCTTTCTCTGACCCTACAGTGTAGCTGGAGGAGGGGGACAGGACCATCTGTGCCCACTGGGCAGAAGGCTGGTTCAAAATCTAGGCCCAAGAATATGAGGACTTAATAACATAGCTATTACAGGATAGTTATTCATAATTTGGAAAGAATTCAACTGGCAAAACAGTATTTAAACAAACCATAAACTCACGTAAGGCATTTCGAAAATGACTTGATTCACATTAAATTCAGACATCATTTTCAAGGATACATCTACTACCAAAAAGAGAAAGGAAAAAAGGTGTGGACCGGACTACTACATGGGACAAGACTACCTAAAAACATCTGACTTAAACCATCATTTTGACAGAAGCCAAAGTTCGTTATGACTTACCTCTTTGATGTGATGATAGGCATGTTTGTCTTCACATCTGGAACAAAGAAGTTCTATTAGTTTCAGGCAAATTTCCCATAAAGGGAACAAACACTAAAAATCTAGTAAAGACTGAGAATTTTAAGGTTCACAAAATCACACACCTAGAAAGTTAATACTGTCCAGTCAGCAATGGCAAAAATATGCTTTCTATGCCATCCTTCCCTGAACCCATACCCTTGGCAGGTGCTGCCCATCAATCACATCAGTCTTGGTGGGCTTACAGGGGACCTCAGAATCCTTCTCAACTCAGGGCTCCAGCTAAGCAGCAACAGCACGGGATTGGAAACCTCTCTGCCACGGCTGAATGCTCATTCCAACTTCCAAATGAGAATGCTGAGGCCCTAGAGGTATGAACTTCATCTCCATTCTTCCCTCTTCACTGAAAGCTCCTTACATGTGTATATTGAAAGGGCTGGGAAAGTGAACTTGATTGCAGTGTTGGTTTTGGATGTGGATTTGGGAGTTCAGGGCTTCCAGCTCTAGCTCCCTGTGCAGAATCTCAAACTGGCTTGACCTCACGTTATTTTGAAAGCCAGCCTGATGAGGGCGCAGTTCTGACAGGCGGGCTCCTGCTGTTACTGAATCTTAGGTTTTGGTTGTAGTAACTTGCCTGTACCCCAGGCATAAGCAGGGCATCAGGTGGGAGGACTCTTTCCGCCCAAAATGTTCATCAGGTCACCCAGTGGTCTGATTTTTCGTCCTGGTCTTTTCCTAACTCTGCCTTTGGGCTAATTACTTCTCTATTCCCAAACTCAGCCTCTTCTGCATGCATTAAAGGCTTGGAAGAAATGATGATCAGCTTTAACACCACAGGAAAGTGATCACACCCAGCCAAGACAGCACACCTAGTGACTACTATGGTTGCTGTTTAAAGCCAATACATTTTGGGGTGGTTTATTAAGCAGCATTACTGTGACAAGAAGTAACTGACACAAAGTCTATCCCATTAGGTTGAATAATCAAATCACTATAAAGTTACTCAAATGGCCAGGCTCAGTGGCTCAGTCCTGTAATCCCAGCACTTCGAGAGGCTTTGAAGGGTGGATTGTCTGAGCTCAGGAGTTCAAGACCAGCCTGGGTAACATGGTGGAACCCTGTCTCTACAGAAAACACAAATATTAGCCAGGTGTGGTGGCATGCGCCTGTAGTCCCAGCTACTTGGGAGGCTGAGGTAGGAGGACGGCATAAGCCCAGGAGGTGGAGGTTGCAGTGAGCTGAGATTGCGCCACTGCACTCCAGGCCCTATCTCCAAAAAAAACAAAAGTTACTCAAAATAATTTCTCCCTGTGTGGTTATACAACCAACTTGATATAAGCTTTCAGTTACTTCATGTCTATATTTTAAAAAATCCCTTGTAAAAATTTAACTCGTTTTTTTTTTGGAGACGGAGTTGCATTATTCCGCCCAGGCTGGAGTGCAGTGGCGCGATCTTGGCTCACTGCAACCTCTGCCTCCAGGGTTCAAGTGATTCTCCTGCCTCAGCCTCCCAAGTAGCTGGGATTACAAGTGCCTGCCACCAAGCCCAGCTCATTTTTGTATTTTTAGTAGAGACAGGGTTTTGCCATGTTGGCCAGGCTGGTCTTGAACTCCTGACCTCAGGTGATCTGCCCGCCTCAGCCTCCCAAAGTGCAGGGATTACAGGCGTGAGTTACCGCGCCTGGCCGGCTATTATTTTTTTAAACAAGTGTTGGCAAGGATGTGGAGAAATTGGAACCTTTGGTGCATTGCTGGTGGGAAGGTACAATGATGCAGTCAATGTGGAAAATAGTTTGGCTAGTTCTTAAAATGTTAAACAGACAATTACCATATGACCCATTGACTCCACTCCTGGGTATATATCCAAAACACATAAAAAAATAGACTCGGATACGTACATGCCAATGTTCACAACAGTATTACTCAGAAAAGCCAAAACACAGAAACAATCTAAGTGTCCATCAGCAGATAAGCTAAAGGCACTATGTCCAAACAATGGAATATTATTCCACTATAAAATGGAATGAAGTTCTGATAGACACTATGGCAGGGATGAACCTTGAAAACATGCTAAGTGAAAGCAACAGACACAAAAGGGCAGATATTGTATGATTGCATTTATATATGAAATATCTGTAATAGGTAAATCCATAGACGGAAAACATATAAAGGTTACCAGGGACTGAGGAGAGAGAGGAATGGGGGAAAAGAAAACAAAGTAAATGCATATATAATTTTGCTAGACATTGCCAGATTCACCTCCATGAGGGCTGCACCACAAGCACCCCACCAGCAATGCAAGAGAAGGTCTGTTTCTGAAGTCCTCACCAATGCAGTATATTGTCAGACTTTTGGATTTCTGCCTGATTGTTGAAATGGTATCTCAGTGCAGTTTTAATCTGCATATTTTCTTATAATAAAACATTTAAAAGATCCTTTCTAATTATGTTTTAACATGCTGGTATTGGTTCTTAAGTGATTACCATGAGAATTCCTTAGAGAAATACTCTAAAACAATTGCAAATTAAAGAGAATCAGCAAGGGAGAACTACACACATACATGTCATGGCTATTATAAATTCTAATTCTGGAAACAAAATTTTTAAAATGTTGCATAGTGCCACAGGTGAGCAGGTACTTAACTACCAGTACCTGCCACAGGCATAGTACTCTGCTAAGCAAACACTTAACAACAGAAAAGCCCAATTAACACTTGATAATTCTAGAAATTAAACACACTGTCACCCAATCATAACCCTTTTGCTTTGATTAGAATTATTCTTTGGCAGTAAAACTGCCAGTGTACATGTTACTTCTCTAGAATTTTACCATACAATCTGAGGTATAAGATCAAAAATAAAGGAAAATGATAATTTGTCAAAAGAACTGAATGATACAACTTTACCTTTCCATTTAGCAACCAGTTTAGGATCTGAAATTGTGAAGTTTGGACGGCTTCTTGAAAGAATACCTTTTCCAAAATAACCCTTCCAGGAAGAGAAAACAAAGTTAGTTCATGTTTAGTTGCCAGTTTTTCAGCTGAGGTAGAATATACAGTAATCCCTCAGTATTCACAGGGGGCTGGTTCCAGGACCTCTGGTGGATAACAAAATCTGCAGAGGGTTGAGTCCCCAATATAAAATGGTGCAGTATTTATATATGGTCTATGTAGGTCCTCCCATATACTTTAAATCATCCTAGGCTACTTATAATATCTAATGCAATGCAAATGCTATGTAAATAGTTGTTATACTATATTGTTTAATACAAGAAAATAAAGTCCCCATTTAGTACAGATGCAATTTTTCTTCTCAAATATTTTCAATCGAAGGTTGGGTGAATCCACAGAAGTGGCACCCATGATATGGAGGGCCAACTGTACCCATCTGAGTTAACAAGAGGTTCGCTCCACTTTCCACGTCTTGACATTTTCCCTCTGATTATCTAATGACGACTAAGGATGTTCTTAGCATAATACCTTTCTAATCACTTCAAGAGTACTAGTAAGTTTTTGGCACACATCATTTATCCCATAACTAATGCTTTCAGTCTAGGTCTTATAAGCCGAGGGCAGGCAGAGGCAGAGTTTCTTCTTTACATATGGTTTGGGAACACACTGCCTGAAAGCAGGAGCCATGCTGCCCACCAGGTCCAAAAAAATCTCTTGGATTCTTTCGTACTCCAGAATTGAAGTATTCCTCTCATTCCTGCTGATTCCAAAAACAACGTGCATTTTCCCCCTTTTTACTATAAAATATTTAAACACACAGAAAATTGAAAGAATAAAACAAACACCCCTTTCTCCATCTAGATTAACAATCAGAATAAACAGGCCAGGCATGGTGGCTCACACCTGTAATCCCAGCACTTTGGGAGGCCGAGGTGGGCAGATCACTTGAGGTCAGGCGTTCAAGACCAGCCTGGTCAACATGGTGAAACCCGGTCTCTATCAAAAACTACAAAAATTAGCCAGGCATAGTGGCATGTGCCTGCAGTCCCAGCTACTCGGGAGGCTGAGGTGGAAGAATCATTTGAACCTGGGAGGCAGAGGTTGCAGTGAGCCGAGATCGCGCCACTGCACTCTAGCTTGGGTGACAGGGTAAGACTCTGTCTCAAAAAACAAACAAACAAAAAACAACCCAGCAACAACAAAAACCAAGAGGAAATAATGCATGCAGCACTTTATAGAGCCTCTTGCTTAATGTTATATACTGTAAATGAAGGCCTCCCTGGTGAGCTGCCCTTGGCCTACTGGGACTCCTGCCTCACCAAGGCCAGTGCCACCCACTCTTCTATAAAATGTCTAGAGAAGGCACATTTATGGAGACAAGACGCAGATCTGTGGCTGCCTTGGGCTGGGAGTGGGAGCAGGGATTAAGTGTGATGGGCACAAGGGAACTTTGTGGTGATGGGAATGTTCTAAAACAACTGTGGTGAGAGTTGTGCAACTCTATAAATTGATGACAATCACTGAATTGTATACTTACAATGGGAGAACTTTATAATTGTAAATTATAACTTAATAAAGCTGTATTTTAAAAATGCCCACAGCAATGAACAGACTGTGGGAATTTTTTTTTTTAAGAACTACCAGTCTTCATTCAACTTGATCAATGCTGGAAAACAGTAAAAACTAGAACTTGTCCTCATCTGAGAAGAGATCTCCAACCAGGAGGCAGCAGATAAGGAGCTTCCCGCCAAAGCCCCACCTGATCTGTGCCTGAGCAGGACACCATACCACGCTGTGGCTACCTCTGGGAACAGAATGGGAGTCAGTGGGGAATTTTCACTTTTTTACCTATTACATTTCTGTAAATTACTTTTTTTGTTCCTTCAACAAACATGTATTGCTTTTACAACTAAAGACAAAAAAAAAAGCCAATCCATTGACTCTACTTCATCACTGAAATAAAGGTTTGTGGGCAGGGGTGCTCCATCTGTCATTCTATTACCCTAATGCATGGCTTTTGGGCACTAATTCAAATTGTACTTTTCATACAACTGGACCAAACTGCAAGGAAAGAATACACATTGTTCATGGTTGGTGTGGGGGCATGGCTGGGATGGGGAGAAGGAAAGAATTGCTTGCTCAGGGTTGTCTGAAAGTAATCCTGCCGAGGCTGCCCGCACTTACTTTCCCATAGAGCTGCTCAATGTCCTCTGCATTCCTCACAATCACATTGTTGTTAATCATTTCAGCACGGAATATCTTGAATTCTTTCTGAGGACTATGGTCCTGACCAAAAGGGATTGGCAATGGAGACTCGTAAGTCTCATACACTCTTCTTTTCCTCTTCGGGGCATGGAAAACTGCTTCTGCCATTTTTCAGAGGAGGTATCCTTTAAAGAGTAGACAACAAAGAGAAAGAAACAGACAATCAGTAACTACCTTGATTCAAAATGTGAGTACATCTGTACCTAGGCTCAGAAAACTTAGGGGTCTGTGGGAAGAAATCAAGTATTTATAAAGCAATAAACTAAAAGTAATAAGAACAGTTTGTGTGAGCAATGTAAATCACATTGACCCAGAATACGGCAATTAATCCCCCAAAATAACCCCCAGGAAATGAGTGGTAATCTTTCTACTCCAGTTGACAATGCTGAGACCTAGTGACGTGCCCAAAGCTGCAATGTTAGGTCTCCAGAGAGCAAGCACAACAGGATTTCTGTCTACCAGGAGTGCTTCCATTTCACCCACCCAACAGACATTTACTACCAGGAATTCCTAATAATCATAGGTGCCGGGGAGACAAAGACAAAACTGAGACCCTGTCCTCAACAAATTAAATCTTGCAAGCACTTCATTTTCCAAGAGGATCTTAAAATACACACTAAACACTGGGTCAATCAGCTCCCAATTTTTAAAGTACATTAATAAATAATAATGACAGCAGCAGTTATTTAAGGGTTGATTATATACTACCAAATGCTACTGGCTTCAAGCAGGGACTCTAAAGTCAGACTACCAGCATTGGAATCAACTTTACCACTTTCTAGCAGTGTGATTTTGGGCAAAAGTCACTGACTCTGTGCTTTAGTTTCCTCACCTGCAAAATCAAGATAAGAACAGACTCCATCTTATAGTTAAGATCCATAAAGTGCTTAGAACAGTACCTGGCACACAATGAGTATCATGCATGTATCAGCTATAATTAGTATTACAGGGTGAGCAGTAGCAACACCATTTTATAAATAGGAAACAGATTCAGGTTAGAGAGATTTGTAGAGGACCCCGAGTGTGGTGGTATCGGATGACCCAGGTCTGTTGAACTCCCAAGCCCATGCCCTCTCTCTGGATTCTGCTGAAAGCACAGGCAGGGTCCATCTACTTTTGTCTGATGACTATTTCTCAAAATCAGATGGTGAAGGGTTACTGAGCAATAATGGAATTACCTATAGTGCACCAGCACTACGAGGGAGAAGAGGAAGCCAAGGCCAGTACGTGTCCCTCTGGGGCCATACATTGGACCCAAGAAGACAAAACAAGTATATAACATACCTGGAAGCATAGAAAGCAAGTTGGAACTAACGGAACAGGCTGTGATCCACTAATGTCTAAAGGAGGGAGTAAATGTGAGCATATTGTGTGACGCAGGCACAGAGATACAGCAGATGCACTTAACCTAGCAAAACTTAACCCTATACAGGGGAAAACAATGTAAATGGTGTAAGACATTCCACTCAAGGAGCAGCTGTCCTGGAATGAGGTGGGAAACTTGAATCTGCTGCTCCCTCAGTACTAGGTCTAGACTTGATTTCAACTGAGAGCTTACCTGGTGCTTGAAGATATAGTGCAGCCAAATCATACACACGTTTAACCTACATGACTCCAAACCCTCACAAGGGAAAAAAGAAGACTAATTACTTAGGTGGCTCCTGCACTCAGTACTTGCATCCCATTGGCAAGGGACGCCATCAAGCCTGAAATAGTCAAGAAGGTGGCCAAAGCTGAGGGAGGGCAAGGTGAGTGGCTTTAAGAGTGTCATGATCATTAAGAAATGAAAAGGCTTATCCAATGTGTGATGATATCTTTATCCAACTTCTCAAGGAAGAAGCTGAGGAATTATATGAGGACACAGAAAAACACAGACTAAAGAAGAGTTAGAGGAATTGATACATCAATTACAAAGATAACTATGAAAAACAAGAAGAATCAGGAAGTTGGAACCTTCCTAGAATTGCCAGTGTTCTAAGCAGCAACATGCTAGATTAATTTCTAAATAAGGTACCTTGAAGGAATTACATACTGAGCATTACTTTGTACATTTTATATTTATGCATGCACCTTGCTGTATAGTGTTTATAACATAACCATGTCTACTACATGTTCACAGGAAACCTAAGAGATTTTCTTAAGAGCATATTTTGACTAGGCTTTACCTTGCTTGCTGACTTATCCCTCAGCCCAAGCCAACTATCACATTTAGTACTCAATTGGAGAGACATTAATTTATTCTAAAACTGAAAATAAACACTGCTTTTTGGGGACAGGATGCTGGTCTCCAGTAAGGCACTTTTTGAAAGACTTCCAGGAATGGTTTGGACTTTTATGGGATGTTTCACTTTTATAATAACCTCTGCTCAGCAGCTGACTTATATATATTACATTTGGAATTTAAAAAAATGAAAAAAGATTTAATGGCCACCTTCAAGAAGTTCTAATAAATTCAACAAATAAAGAGTTGCATTTTAGTTTGCCTCATTTGTTCAGCGTTTTTCCCTCTCAGACTGCTGTCACATCTAAAAAAGGCAAGATTTAGCTGTGACACTTGATCGAAAGAACTCTGTACTCCAACCCAAGTGTGTGGGATGGAAGGGTCCCTAAGACAAAACACCCCTCATAATCCAAGTTGTTGTGTCACTCTTGCTCACGTGGCTGCTCACCCCTCAGGAATTTGGCTCGCAGTAGGCCTTCCAGACACGCAAAGCCGCCATTATTATTGTGTGACCTTGCACAACCCACTTTCTCTAAGCCCAGTTTCATCTTCAAATTTAACAGGACTGGAGGAGTCTGGTGGTTCCTCAAAATGTCAAACACATATTTATGACATGATCCAGCAACTCCACCCCTAGGTACAGACCTAAGAGAACTGAAAACATATGTTCATGGAAAAATTTGTATGTCAATGTTCACAACAGTATTATTCATAATAGCTCAAAGTGGAAACCATCCAAATGTCCATCAATAGTTGACCAGATCAACAAAATGCGGTCTATCCACATAATCAAATATTTGGTCGTAGAAAAGGAATGAAGTTCTGATACATTCTTCAACACTTGAAAGCATTATGCTAAAAGAAGCCAGACACAAAAGACCACGAGACAATTAATATAAAGTGTCCGGAATAGACAAATCCATACAGACAGATTACCAGTTGCCAGAGACGGGGAAAAGTGGGAAACGGGGGGTGGGTGGTGACAGCTAATAGACAGGGGGTTTATTTTGGAGGGTGACGAAAATGTTTTAAAATTAGATTGTAGTGACGGTGATGGTTACATAACTCCGAGAATACTAAGACCACTGACTTGTACATTTCAGAAAGGTGAACTTTACAGAATTATATGGTACCTCAATAAAGCCACTTTTAAAAATTCAGAAGACATCCCCCAGGCCATGTCCTGCAAGAATTGCTTCACAGATACCAGCGTGAAGCTTCTAGAAAAGATGGAAAGAAACTCTCCGGGAAGGCAGAGCTCACTTCCCAAGGGGGAGAAATTCAAGAGGACAAATCAGATGATCTCTAGTTTCGTGGAAGAGTCCTCTTGTGCTTAACTCGAAAGGCAAAGCAGAGGAGAAAAGACTGCATTTGCCATTCCCTGTATCTGCAATGCACATTCAAGAAATGGTTCTTTAGTGCCACGGCAGGAGAATAGCATGCTGTAAGAGGTGGGATGTGAGTAAAGTAAGAAAACTGTAGGTACCAGATGCCAGAGGCACTAACTGTGCCATGTGCTGCACATGTGGGTACTATAGTCATCCCTTGGTATCCACAGAAGGACTGGTTCCAGGACTCACCCCCTACCAAAATCTGCAGCTCAAGTCCCTTACATAAAATGCAGTATTTGCATGTAACCTATGCCCGTCTTCCCATCTACTTTAAGTCATCTCTAGATGACTTAGATTACTTATAATACCTAACACAATGTAAATGCCAAATAATTAGTATTTTTTAAATGTCTTTTTCCAAATATTTTTTGATGTAATATTGGTTGAATCCACAGATTCGGAACCTGATAGGGACAGCTGACTGTACTATCCTCATTCCACAGATAAGAAAGAAGAGCCGTGCCTGAGGTGCACAAAAACATACAGGAAAGACTGGGTTAGTTGTCAAGAGGTTTGGGATGCAAAGGCTGGTTTGGAATTGGAGTCACTGCAGGTTCTTAAGTTGAGAATGATGACTGAAAAATGTAGATTAGGAAAATTAAACCTGGGAGTGGTACATCACACACAGTGGCCCTCAAGCTTAGCTACCCTTAACGCCTCATGCCCAGTCCTCACCTGCAATCAATTACATCAGAATTTCCTGGGAGGACCCAGGTGATTTTAACACGTAGCCAACCACCTGTTAACAGCACGGTCTATTCAAACTCACTTAATCCCAATAGCCCCCTGAGGTAAAGACTATTTTTATTTCCATTGTACAGATAGGGAATGTGACTCAGAAGCGCCTGGAGCACCCCTGAGAAATCGTTACTTCTCCTTTCTCCAACCTGCGCACACCTGACTCCAGAACTGCGTATTCTTACTTTCTATTAAAAGCAAGGTTTCTTATTCTTCCCTTGAGCACACAAGCTAACACCTCTTAGGTGCTGGTAAATGTCTATCAGAACAACAAACAAAAAAGTGGGAGGTGGCTCCATTTAATTTTCCAACCTTCCTGGACTAGGTGCCAAACAAACGTGGTTTAAAAACCTCCCACCCAGCAAATTTCACCTTCTCCCAACCAAAACACGCTTCAAGCACCACCTGCGCACCTCCTGGGCTCAGGGAGGCAAGGATGAAAGGGACAAGGTAAACAATCCTGCCTCTGGGGAGCTTTCAAGTTAGAACCTGAAAATAAGCCACAGAAACAGATGACAAGCCTTTGAAAGTTGTTGTGAGGATTAAATGCATAATTTTGCAGAAGGCGTTTTGTTCGGGGCCTACCACGTGGAAAGCGCTCGCCAGACGACAGCTGCAACTATTAATACAAATAAACAACTGCGCACCCAAATAGCGTTAAGGGCCCCGCGAATTCCTAACTCCCTATCTTAACTTACCCCTTTGCTTCTTTCCCTGACTACCCCCACACCCGACCGAACCCCACCAGAGGCTGAGGCTCCTCTCCGGCACCGTCAGCTGCACCTTGCGCCCCAGGCCCACCAGCCCTGAGCAAGGCGTCGGCGTTTCCAAGAACCAAGGGCTGCAGGCGCACGAGGAAGACGCGGAGGAGTCAGTGAGCAGGCGCGCTCGGAAGCCTGGCTCCCCGTCCCGGCACTGTCTCGGCCGGCTGTGCGACCCCACCACAGTACCCGAGCCCTTTCCGCTCTCGCCCTGGAGGGCTTTCGAAGAGCGAGATTTCCTCTCGCGGCAAAACACCAAACTCGGAAGGCGCCGCGCGTTCTTCGCCCAGGGCCCTTACCTTTCTTGGCCCCACGCGCTCGCCGTTACCTCGGCAACGCCGGCCGTGGGGCGGACACCGCTGCCATCAAGCAGTGCGGCCGCAAAGCCAGCCTAGTGCGCAGCCGCAGAGCGCCTGTCGGGACTTGGTGGAGTGCGCCTGCGCGTGGCCGGCTGGCGGGTGTTCTGTGCGCCAGCTCTGCCACTGCGGAGTATGAGGCGGAGGCTGGGTGTGCTCTTTGCTGCTTTCTGCAGGATTGTACGGATACCAGAACGGTCCTGTAAGACCCATTTTACAGATGAGATGAAGTTACCTGTCAGATGTCACATAGTCACGTGGGAGGTGGGAGATACCTAGAGTCTTCGGCTCTCGGAGGATGGGATATTTGAGGCGACCGGCAGGACTTTATAATTGGCCCTGAGGAAACTGATCTCATCTTTCTCAATGTAGAAAGAGGATCACAGTAGCGCACCTGTATACGCTGCAGCATGCGGAGAACTTGCAAAGACCTTTCCTCTGGCAGACACCTGGCCAGAAGCCTGTGTGTGCCCAGACTGCCTGTGCAGTTAAAGGGACAACAGGTGGCAGGTCCACCTGCTCTGCATCCCCATTTTCCCCTTCACTGACTGTGTGAGCCTGAATGACTGACAACCTTTCTGAGCTTAAGTTTGCTGAAAAATAGGCCATCAGAATTATGGGAGATGAGCAAAACTAGAGTGCAATAGGAAGTGTAAATTTCTCCTGCCCTGGTTATTTTAAAGGAGGCCTATGGGGAGTCCAATATATACCTTCCCAAATATGAATCACAGGAGTTCCACCTCACAGACTAGGCAGGAGGCAAAGAAGGGTTGCAAGGATGAGCGGCAAATACTGCTGGAGATTCATGGTGCTAGATGTGATGATGGATGTTGAATTTTGGACCTTTGCCAATGTTCTTGCCTCCATTCCTTCATGCATGCTGTTGCCTCTATGTTCCCTCCCTTCTGTTAGCTGCAGTAATTCCTGGTCAGTCTTTAGGTCTCAGCTCAGATACACCTCTTCCAGGAGACATCTTGCCTCCCCAGGCATGCTTGGGTGACTTGCCTCTGCGTTCTGCAGTAGCCTGGCATGGCCTGTGTTGTCCCTGTTTTTCTGGCCCTTTTTATTTTTTGAGACGGAGCCTGGCTCTGTCGCCCAGGCTGGATGGCAGTGGCACCATCTTAGCTCACTTAGCTCACTGCAACCTCTGCCTCCCAGGTTCAAGTGATTCTCCTGCCTCAGCCTCCTGAGTAGCTGGGATTACAGGCACCTGCCACCACGCCCGGCTGATTGTTATGTTCTTAGTAGAGACGGGGTTTCACCACGTTGGCCAGGCTGGTCTCAAACTCCTGACCTCAAGCGATCCTCCCGCCTCAGCCTCCCAAAGTGCTGGGATTACAGGCGTGAGCCACTGCATCCCGCCTGGCCCTTTTTGAACTGCACTGTGGCCTTGCTCTTGGTAGAGTGAGATCATGTCACAGCATTCAGTGGCTCCTCTGCTGCCAGGACCTTAACTGCTAGGCTAGGGAGTTCAGGCTTTAGATAAACCAAAATCAAAGAGCTTTGTGGTAAGAATGTTGCAAAAGAAAGGGAGAAAATTGGCAAGAGTCACAGGATGTGGTAACAGGATGGATTGGGCAGAGGAGCAACAGCTGAAGAGAGGCTGTAATATCCAACCAGAACATGCCGATTTAAGAAATACTGGTGTTAGAATTAGAGGGCTTTAACAATGAAAGGGATTCAGAGGTTGTCCAGTTAAACTTCCTTATTTAACTGATTAAAAAACAGGTCCAGTGGCACTGTGAGTTGTCAGAGATAACCAAGCAGGTCTCCTAGAGCCAGGTCTCTTAAATCCCATCCCAGCCCGTGGAAGGATTGGGGTTTGGGATCTCAAATTTCCCTCCCAAAAACATTAAAAAAAAAAAAAATTAAGAAAAGAAAAAAATTCTGGAAATTTCTAAAAAGAAAGAAATAGTTCCCCGAGATTTTCTCGAGTGCATTTTAAACCCTTTGATATGGTTATTTTCAAACATACAACACAAAAGTAGAGAGAAAATAGTCCAATAAATCATCACTTCCAGCTGGGCACGGTGGCTCACGCCTGTAATCCCAGCACTTTGGGAGGCTGAGGCAGGTGGATCATCTGAGGTTGGGAGTTTGAGACCAGCCGGACCAACATGGAGAAACCCTGTCTCTACTAAAAATACAAAATTAGCTGAATGTGATGGCGCATGCCTGTAATCCCAGCTACTCTGGAGGCTGAGGCAAGATAATTGCTTGAACATGGGAGGTGGAGGTTGTGGTGAGCCGAGATTGCGCCATTGCCCTCCAGCCTAGGCAACAAGAGTGAAACTCCATCAGAAAAAAATAAAATAAAATAAAATATCACTTCCACAACCTTCAACCTTTGGTATCTCATTTCTTTTGCATTCTCCATATACACACTTATATCTCCTTGCTGGAGTATTTTAAAACAATCCCAGACATTATATAACTTCATCCATGATATTTCAGTAGATATCTCTAATAGATAAGGATTTAATTTTATTACAATACATCTGCATCTACATTATATATATATATATATACACACACACACACATACACACTTATATCAACTGTGTAGTTCATTCTCATTATTTGAGGTAATTCTGTTCTATAAAGTTGTCACAAACACTGAAGTAGAAAATACTGAACTATGGGGCCAAGGGCGGTGGCTCATGCCTGTAATCCCAGCACTTTGGGAGGCCGAGGTGGGCGGATCACGAGGTCAGGAGATCGAGACCATCCTGGCTAACATGGTGAAACCCCATCTCTACTAAAAATACAAAAAATTAGCCGGGCGAGGTGGCGGGCGCCTGTGGTTCCAGCTACTCGGGAGGCTGAGGCAGGAGAATGGCGTGAACGCAGGAGGCAGAGCTTGCAGTGAGCCGAGATCGTGCCACTGCACTCCAGCCTGGGTGAGAGCAAGACTCCATCTCAAAAAAAAAAAAAAAAAAAAAAAAAGAAAATACTGAACTATGTTTCCAGGAGAAATACAAGGTTAGGTGTCTGTGAGTCTCTGGTCTCAACATTTTCATCAACTGGTCAATACATAACCTCACTTCATGTGTTTCTGTTTAAAGACACCTTATCTAATTTGTTGATTCATCAACATTGAACTTGCAGCCAACAGCACTATAACTCCTGCCTAAAGGAGGCTTATCTAACACACCTATTTTCTCCAATAAGGCACATGTCTTGGGTGGGGAACACCAGACAGCACTTCAGCACTCCACTTGGGGCCATTTTAAACAGTTAAATCACCAACAAAAAGCACAAAATGTGAAAAACATGGCACAAACTAGAGCTCAAAAAAGCATACTTATTTATGGTATGAGACATGAAACAAGAAGGCAGAGTCTCCTTGTTCAACTTCAGCTGGAAATGTGCTCACTGAGTGACTCAAATGTTTTGGTGTTCTGTGCATGCACGTATCTGCAGATGACTGTGACTGTGACTGTGATGTTAC